TTTTGGTTCTTGAATTTTACAAATTTAATGGGAGTCCATCCATTAAAGTCTTCTACAATAATCTGTTTGTGGTCTCTACATGTGGTCATATCGTTGTCTGCTTGTAAAAAATTTACAATGGTTTTACAAAGGAGGATCAACTTTGTGATATTCTAGGAACATCGCAAGACATCAAGGGAAAAAAATGGTATAGCTTCAAATTTGGAGTCAGTAAACTAGTGCAACACTGATAAGTTAATGAAAAATACTTAAACCTGTCTTTTAACTTGTAAAGAGACAAAAATGGCTCAATTGAAGGTGACATTCCTTAATTACATTCCTTTCCAAGTGTTTGAGGTGCATCAATTTTTATCTGAAGGCCATGTTATATTTTTTCCTAACTTTTTACTCTATTTATTTATTTGTTTGTTTGTGCAGGTTTTATAGTGTATACTTTTGTTGTTTTGGCTCTGGTCATCATTCTAATTGTTATATATGTGCCACGCAATGGACACACACACATGGTCGTGTACATTGGAATTTGTTCGCTTATGGGTTCTCTTACGGTCAGTTGTTTGACATATGTCTTATGTTTTATTGGCAGTAGTGTCGTATCATAGTTATTTATCCTCTCTTTCGTGTAGGTTATGGGTGTGAAAGCTGTTGCAATCGCTCTGAAGTTGTCACTGTCAGGATCAAATCAGTTTATATACTTTGAGACTTGGTTTTTCACTATTTTGGTCGTCATTTTTTGTGTCACGCAGCTGATATATCTGAACAAGGTATTCTTCGTATCAATTTACAAGCTTGGCGTTCTAACTAGAAAATTTACATAAAATAATAATAATGCTCTAGGTTTTATCATTGCAGTATTTCAGGATAATCCTTCTTCTTTTCCTTTTGGAATGTAACTAGTTTAAAACTTTGGCATTAGGAGATAATAAATTCATGATAAGAAAAGCATATATTATTTTAAAAATCTATCTTCCTACCTACTTCTGGAGTACTTCCATTATCCTTAAGAGCCGCCAATCTCAAGGTATAGAAAAATTGCACGAGTCAATGAAAGGGGCCGATTGATTATAGATTAAAACTGGTTTTGACTGACCGAATAATTTATTTACACTTTTTTAACTCAAAATCCCACTCAAATTTAGTTCAACCCAACTCTACTCAATATTATCAATTAATTAAATGATACCAATAAAGCATTCTCACACATCACATAAATAACTATTCATCCACTCACATCTGTCCTACTTTTATATCACATCGACTTTAATTATTACATTTTAAATATTATATAAATACAAATTCAAAATCCCTCTCAACCAACTTTATTCAAAATTAACTTATTTTAACCAATAAATCCAACCAAAACCTATTTTATTTATATTCGGTCACTAGTTTGTTATTACTCTTGGGCGTTTTTTCTTGCCTCTTCTCCTTTCACACTCAATGATGTAGGTAATGAATTAATATAGTTTAGTTTTCTAGTCCTCTCACCCACTGTTACCTCGGCAATATGTTGATGAATTTTGTTGTCACTTCTTTCATGCTATCAATCCTTTTCTTTTTTTTCTCCTTTTCTGTCTCTTGTTCAATTTTCTGTCGAGATATTATTTAGTCTTGTTAGTAAATGTATTATGATAATGAGTTAGATGCTCGAGCTACGTTGTGTCAGTGTTTTAGTTGGAATCATTTACTGTTGTTAATTGACTGTAGAAATATTCATCTTTGCAGGCATTGGACACATTCAACACAGCAGTGGTTTCCCCAGTATATTACGTCATGTTCACCACCCTTACTATCTTAGCCAGCATGATAATGTTTAAGGTGATAAAAGAACACAGAAGTTTTGTTCAGAAGATCGATAATTTATACAGTGACTTGTTAACTTTAACTAACTATACGGTGAATTGTTTTGTTTGTGTTTTGTTTTAATAACTGTCAGGAATGGGATTCGCAAGACGCATCTCAGATTGTAACAGAAATATGCGGGTTTGTGACCATCTTAAGTGGAACATTTATGCTGCATAAGACCAAAGATATGGGAGGTTCTTCCACGTCATCACCTTCCTACCAGAGGTCTCGAGATTCAAGTCCTACAAATGAAGCTCAACCATGAAATTCTTGCATAAAAAATCTTATATACGTATATAGATATATATTTTTATGTCAACAAATATGCTTTTTTATTACACAATACCTTTTCCCCAAACTCTTTACACAGTTAACCATTCTTACACATCCATACCTTGTTTATTATTATTATTATTTTTTTCTGTTTTGGTAGTTTTTCATTAAGCACAGATAGATATTCGCTAGAATTAGATTTCCCCATCATATTTACACCATTAGATTGATTGATGTTTGCTTAGAGAAGATTTTTTTGTTTTTGTTTTAACTTAATTAATTATTTACTTATTTTTTCTTTTTCCCGTTGATGTCTACCCATAATATAAGATATGTCCAACCCTTATGGCTATTGTAGAGCTTTTCTATAATTACTATTAATACATTACTAATTTGTCATTTATGTCGAAGTAAATTTTTTTTAAGTAGTTCAATTTTTTTTTTTTTATTACAAAATTACTCATCCTATTCTATATCTTTTTAGAGTAGTATAAATTTATGTTGAAGTAAAATTTTTTTAAGTAGTTCAAATTTTTATTTTTATTTTCTAAATTACAAAATTACTCATCCTATTCTATATCCTTTTAGAGTAGTATAAATATAGATGGATAGATATAGATATTATATCCTTGGATGAATGCATGTGTAAATAATACATATTCTTCTAAACAAATCATTGTCAAATGTTATAAAACATGAAATGAATCATTAAAGTGAAATAGAACACTATCCAATGGAATATGGAATGAAACATGAAATGCATCTTTGGATTAGATCTCATTTCCCTTCATACAAGGAATACCATTGAGATGAAAAGGATATCATAGAGATGAACAAAGGATATCATAGAGTTGAACAAGGAGTCCAGGACAGCTACTATTGTTTGCCGAATTAAATTAAGAAACCAAACATAACATCACAAAATCGATCATAATAAAATCAAAGTAGGTTCTTGCACATAGCAAATAGATACAGTAGCACTAGATCCATCCTGTCAAACCATATTTGTCAGCCACATTGAACATCACAAGTTCCTCCCAAGCATGGCCAAACAGTCTTTCACCTCCGATGGCAAAGGTAAGAGCCCATGAAGAAAGGATAGTCGTGAATATGAGGAAACCAACTGCTGATCCAACAAGATCTGCAAAACGTTGTCAAGCAAGCATGAATTCACAACTAGGAGTAACAAAAAAGACTAAGCTAAATAACTAAAGTAAGGGGCTTGTATTTAGAAAACCAATTCAAGAAAGGGAAGAAAACTAAGTTACTGCCTCGTGTTTTTTTCAAGCTACCTACCCATATGAACTAATTTTTTACTTTTTTACAATCTACAATATGAACTTTGCGAAAATTTCAATATGAACTTTCTTCACTGTTTGCACGTGCAGTATGCTGTCACGTCCTCCCTCTATTCATTTATTTTTCAACTCTCTTCCTCAATTTCACTCTCTCGCCCTCTCTCAGCTTTTTTTATTTTTTTATTGCAACCCACCCATATCACAAACACTCACAGCAACACACGCACACACATCAGATGGAGACAAAAAAACCTCTCAAAACAAATTCAGTCCCGAAGCCAAAACCTCAACTCACGAATTGTGGGATATGGGATATGGAGGTTTGGCGAGGACAGTGGTCCTTGGTGAGGCCCAGGCTGAGCAGAATCAGCCGAAGGCCTTTTCCACTTAGAACCCGAACAATTGAATCACCGAGACTCTGTCAACAATAAATCTCATCTTCAATATTTCATAAGGTTCATTTCTTGGTTTCTCACTTTCCAAATTCAGTGTTTCGAAGGCAAGTTGAACTGAAGTGATTTGAAACATGGAAACTCAAAGGTCAAGCTTTTCCAGATGACATGATCATAACCCTACAAGAAACTGGCTGAGGTGGCAAAAACCGGGTGCAAATCTGAAACGGGGGACAAACTGAAAATTTCACAAAATTCATATGGTGGATTGTTAATTAACATGATAAGTTGAAAACAAAAAATATAGTTCTGGGTGTAAATTGTTTTTCCCTTACAGAAAAAGAAATGAATGACAATGAAACTTAAATGAATAGAGCTGAATAATTAAATTAACGTGATCATGAATTAATATTTCAAACTAAATGAATAGAGTTTGCAGCGGTGATCATACAAGCCTGGACCTTGTTATACAAATGCAAACATGATGCAGGCATATTCTGAAGCGCGTAAAGCTAATCACTAGATAAATTGATGTCATCTGTTTGGTGTAGCAATGAGGTCTCTCATATGTCAAACTCAAAATTGAATGCTTTGAAAATAAAATACATTCCAAGAACTCTAGATTGTATATTTAAGTGACATTACAAGGAATATAACATTAGCAGAAGAAATAAGCCTGAGGTTCTCACTAATGCCGTTAGAGACCAGAGCAATAGTCATTATTTTGAAAACCAACTTCTTCATTGATTAGAGACCCAAAAAAAAAAAA